CCCGGAGTTGCTGTCATAGCAACAGGTCCGTAAACTTAAACCTGCTCGGGAGCAGGCTTATTTCATGTAAACAGGATTAGAATGCATCTTTTTAAGTGGAATTGATATTTAAAATCTATCCCAGCCATTGCTACTTTACTACAAGAGTACCCTACTAATCCGGGTACAATAATTTAAAATAATAATAATTAAAACATTAATTTGAAAATAATATTATAATGTTGTGTAATCTATAATACTATTGACACAGCCAGTTTTACTCCCTGAAAGATTTATTAGTGATAAAATAAATTACTTTTTTAATTGTATTAGAGTCTTACACACATGCTATACAGTTAATCTGAGTTGTGCATTAATTTGAGTGGTGACGGCTATAATAATAATAATAATAATAATAATGCATTTTAACAGCGCCTTTCATAACACCCAAGGTCACCTTACAAGCAAACAAAAATAGTCTAAAACAGTAAATAGATGAATAACAATAAACAAATCCCATTAGCATCACAACAACTTAAAAGCACACATGCATCATAGAAACAGTATAATACAGTACAGGTCATAAAAAAAGCCTTGGTAAAAAGATAGGTCTTAAGACGGGATTTGAAAGTATGCAGACTGTCACTATTACAAATTTCGAGAGGGAGAGAGTTCCATAGGCGAGGGGCTGCGTGGCTAAAATTTCTAGCTCCCATGGTACTTAATTTATACCCCTCCACGCACTCTGAGATCTTCACACTCGCTCTCCCTGGTGTCACTTTACACTCGCTCTCCCTGGTGTCACCATGTATACGCATAGTATAAGAGTGCGTGGAGGGGTATAAATATGAAGAAGATCAGTAAGGTATGGAGGAGCGAGATTGTAAAGTGCCTTGAATGTGAGAAGCAGAATTTTTAAATCAATGCGGTACTTCACTGGCAGCCAGTGTAGTCGCTGGAGAGCAGGTGAAATGTGCACAGTAGAAGGAGTTCTAGTAAGAACACGAGCCGCAGAGTTCTGAACCAGCTGAAGTTTATGGAGAAGTTTAGAAGGAAGACCAGTAAGAAGAGTGTTGCAATAATCAATACGTGAAGTAACCAGTGCATGGATGGGAGTTGCAGTGTTGAGGGAAGGACGGAGACGATTAATATTACGCAGATGAAAGTATGCAGTAGGCCTACGCGTAATATTATTATGGGTGTGGCTTGATGGAGGGCAGGAGATGCAGTTAACTTGATCTTGACCCTTAAGAAACTTTAATTAATGCTGTCACATAACAAATCTGCTTCGAAAGATAAAGTTACATGAATTGCTAATTACAACATTGAAATAAAAATGCAAAGCCTGTACAAATACTATAAATCGTGAATATAAATAATTGGGAATCATGTAAAAAAATATATATAATAAAATAAAAACAGTGCACATTTCATTTATCTAGCCTATTATAACATTTATGTAGTTTTGTTTACTTGGCTGTTTCCTTATAAAGGCCCGGAAATTTGTCAAGTTTTTCGTCAGGTGTCTTTTTTTAATTATATGATGTCATTACGTTGCTGTCTTGCCACCAGCCAATCGCTGCATTGCTGATCGTGGCTTCGAGTATCGATACATCTGCCCTTTACGGGGAACACGAGAATGCGCAATAATCTTAGACAACTTAATCCAGATATTTTAATCAAATCCGCAAATTCATTTGAAGAACCAAATTAGCCAGAGATCAGTTATCACGATTAGAAGATCTGGCATCTTTCAAATAATCTCAGATGTATTAAGAGAGGTACGAAGAATGGGCCCATGCATTTGCGTTTCTCGTCATTTACACTATATGCTCAAATCGGTGGGCGGAGCTAAACAGGCAGTGATGTAGAAGCAGGTGCTGATCATCTTCTGTGGAGGCGGGGTTTAGCCACACTATTACGTCATAAAGTGGCACATTCCACAACCTGTCGTTTTGGCAGATTGGCTTCAATATAAGCCGTTTTTAGATTAACACAAAAGTTTTTAGTTCTGAAACTTACAGGATGTTTTTATAGTACAATAACCTCTTATATGTCAAACGATCAAGGGAATTGATTTCTCAGTTCATGACCCCTTTGAAGATGGATGATCCAAGTATAAAAATTGCACTCAGCAGATCAGAAGGAAATCGTCTGATATTAAAAGCATGCAATATAAAATGGCAGACATATTTGGACTCATGTCAAACAGGTCGACATCATGAAGTACTGTACAAAGGAACATAAAGAGAAGTAAAATCACTCATAACATAAGTAGGAGGGAACAAGTCATATTCACACATTTACGAACAGGACATTCAAATCTTAACCAAACATTATGCATTATAGGAAAACATAATACAGGTTTATGTGATGTATGTTTAAGGAGACAGTGGAACACGTTTTGATGATATGTAGTGCATATGAAAGGGAGGGGGAACTTCTTAATGAAGTACTGCAATCCTTAGGAATTAAATAATTCACATTAAGTAAAACAATAAATCATGGTCCAAATGTAGGAAAACAAATGAGTGCGTTAAGAGGCAGGATATAGGGATTGTGTGAGAAACAGGAATCATTCAGGTTGGTTCGCAACCCGCCACAAAACCAAAAGAAGAAGAGGAAGAAACACAACCTTCGCCCCGCCCCCCCAAATGCACAAACAAACACGCAATACAACACGACTACGCACAGCTGGCGCATCAGACAGCTCGCTCAAGTATGGACGAATCAGTTCTGTTAGAATAGTAGCTAGCATTACAACAACAGCATATCTTGATTCTGTGAGACGCCAGTGTTACTCACGTGTTGAGCAGAAAAAAAGCAACCTTGGCTCAGCGTCCTTTTCAGGTCTTCCTGCTCTCTAATGGCTCTCCATCCCTGGAAATGGTTCTAGTTCTTGTCTGATCGTAAATCCTGCTTTTTCCAATGATATTTCAGCTTACATTTTCCTCTTTGATAATGTCTCAGCCATCTCTCTTGTTACATTCTTTCTACAAATCTCCCGCTTTCTCACTCTCTCTCCTCCCCATGAGCGTAAACGCCCCCTTATAATTGCTGATTGGCTACAAGAGTGTTTTGGTGCTTGTTTGGATCGCTCCGATCCACTTTGTTTTCCCCGTTTACACAACCAGGGGACCGTTCTTCGTACGTCGCTAACTCAGTTAGCTGGACTTGATTGCTGATGATTTAGCATGATCTTGGATTGTTTGGTTCTTGGAAGCAGATAACTCAATCCAGCCATACTAATCATCATCAACAACAGGTGCGTTCGAAGAACCGAATTAGCTAGATTCTGATCAGCGCGATGATATCATCTTGGATGTGACATTTCATCTCGGATGTTATAGCGACGTACGAAGAACGGGCCCCAGGGCTATGTAAAAAAAAAAACACTATTTTTTCAGCATACACACAGAATAGACAGCTGGCAAATATTAACAAAATTGTTTGAGTGTTGATTTCAATCAACTGCAACTTTAAGGCCGACACTATTTTTAACTTACAATGGAAAATCATGATTGTTTCGCTTTACTTTACCTCTGCTGCATTGCAGCGTGAAATCACAAGTACTCTAATTATTTTTGTATGATACTGTTACACTGTGTAATTAGTAATTGGGAAAACGTGCGTTCGGTTTTTGGTATTTGTATTTTGTTCCATAAACACTTAAGTAATAATTACTTGTTAGGCAACCAGTCTAGAGTAGTCATTACCTTTAATGCCAGTTCGTAACACACACACAAGGAGATTGTGAGAGAGAGCATATGTGTGAGACACATTCAGTAGTTTTTGAAGACTTGATAAATCTGCTTCATATGGTGGCTTGACAATCTTAATAACATTATAAACGAATGTAGCTGATATACAACATGTACCACCTGTGGACATCATGTTTATGTTACAAAATGAACGAGTGCTTTTGACCAAATCTAAGACCCGACTGACAGATATGTGTACCCTGATATACTAATAATTTGTTACAATAAAATGTTTTATATTAAAATAATATTACATATAAAAATAGTTACGGATACAAAATGTTAAAGTAGCTATTCAGAGGTAATAAAAAAACTTAAATGACGTCTCTGGAGGGAAGACCTCTGTGTTTCCTTCTATCATCCACTAGATGGTGCTCTTGGAACTGGTTTTGCTTTTTGTGTTCAAGTGCACCTGTCTGGAAGTGGACTTGATTTGTTTCTCTGTTTACGTTCCACTTTTATATTGGGTTTTCAATTGGTCTCTCACTGATGTTGTTGACCTATGGTTTTCCAAGTACTGTTTTCCAAGGCTGTGAACAGAGTTGAGTGCAGAGTCCATTACTAAACTTACTAACACTATTTATTACTGTGAAAAAAAGAATTAGACATTATCTATGAGGCATTGCCTCTTTATGATGCACAGTATACTCACTGGCTGCTGCTCTGGTATGGCTTAAGAGGAATTTAGCAAATGAGATACACACTCATTTTTCCAAGTGCTTTTAAGTGACATTTAGGCTGTATGATGACAACATGATTTCCACAAATGTTCAATAAATAGTTACATTTACTATTATTAATTATCAGAACAATTAGTCCGTCAAAGAATATAGTTCATTGTTCTAACTGTTGGCTGTGTATGGGTGTCAAGAGATTTTCTACATTAATTTTTCTGCATTAATAAGGAATGAGCTGCCACAGATTTTAAAAGGGCTTTGAAAGCAGCTCATTAACTATCTGCTTAATAAATGCTTTTGAGCTCAGTGTACAGTTGCAGATAACAGCTTGTTAGGGTTTAAGTCTTGTCTTTACTAATTTCTCTCCTGAACTGCACACTGTCACATTCCAAAGGTTGTTATTTGTTTTACACTGCTTATACTGCATACTTTTTCTCAAGGCAAAACAACAGAATTACTCAGCCAAAAACAAACAGATATAAAATATTCCTATATTATAATATATACTCACGATGCTTTTGAGAAAAGCAGCCCAGGGGCCTGTACCATGAAGCCGGATTAGCTGGCTAGCCAGGTAAATTTCAGTTTAGTTTGCACCAATCCTGGGTTTTAGGTACCATGAAAGTGGCTTGGCTTTTAGCAGCGTTCATTGCCACAGAAACTTACACTCCACAGTTAACCTGCTCGGGGGCAGGTTATGTTCTGATAATATAAATAAGCTGTAGAATCAATAGATAATGCTTTAAAAATGACTATGTGACCTTAAAAGTTTCACTTGTGACTGCACTGATAAAGCAAGATAATTTATTTTATTTGTCCTCTTTCATGAACAAGTACTTTTTTCATTGTAAATGCATTTAAATTCATCATATTATTCAATCTCTTAACCTTTAGCAAAACCATTAACCTTTGATCAAGGCTCGTGATTGGCTGTTCGCCAGTGATGTCACACATTCATGTGCATGTGCTCCACAAACTCAGGATCAAAGCCTGAGTTGACAAAGAAAGTTGATGATCAGCATCATGGCACCAACAAAGCCGGATTGGAGTGGTTTGGTTTTGTCAACTCGAAACTAATCCTGTAACTCTGAATTTGTCCATCTACCATCATGGTACAGGCCCCATGTTCTTCAGCATATAGCAGGGGTGGCGAATGTCGGTCCTGGAGAGCCGCAGCCCTGCAGAGTTTTGCTTCAACCCTAATCAAACACACCTGAACAAGCTAATCAAGGTCTGAACGGTTACTAGGAAGCTACAGGCAGGTGAGTTTTAATTAGGGTTGGAGCTGAACTCTGCAGGGCTGCGGCTCTCCAGGACTGGAGTTCGCCGCCCCTGGCATATAGCAACAACTGTACAAGCACTTCACTACCACTAGATGTCACCATATCATTTACAATTTAATACAACATGGTAACAAGATACAAGAACAAGATACCTTTTGAAGGTTGTGACTTTTTACCCCCAATAAATATGCCTATTATGGAAAATTATAAAATGAATTAAATTAAGCATTTTCAGGAAGTGTCTTACTTTAAAATAACAATAGTATTTTTTTTTTATCCTGTCCTCCACAACTCACCTCGTCTTTTCACTAAATCAACAAATGTAACTCCCGCTATAAGGTTTCTAGCTAAAATCATAAGTAGGCTACTTTTTTTATTTACTTTGGTTTCCACAATATTTTAATAACGCTTAAGCGTTTTAATAACGACAGGCTATATTTATTTATCATTTAGCGTATATATCTGGGGAACACAGGACATCATCTTGGCAGTTAGAACATCAACAAAATATTCTATCGACCAAATATTATTTATTCAAAACCAAGAGGGATTAAATACACAAACAGCTAATGATACTGTGGAAAAAAGAACACACACACACACACACAAATGCGGATTTTGTTTTGGATACGTGTTTTTGAAACCAAGCAATGCTTACCGTTGCCTCAAAGTGCACCACATGACACGGACAAACACTGCAGCCAAGGAACTTGTAATGTTACACTCACAGTCATTATGGTTGTCATCCGGCTGGCTCATATTATAACTGACAGGTGAAACTAAGACATGTAGATTTAACATTTCCTGGCTTAAACTAAAGGTATTACGTGCTTTGATCAGACCTTGAGATTTTATGTGTCACACTAATCAAATGCAGATAATAGGCTACTAATATTTAAATTAGGTCACTGCCAAAGTCCTGGGAAACGTTTTGTATAAAGTTAGTATGGCCAATGCCAAAAGTTAACCATAAGGCTACAATATGCTCTTCTATAACAATATTTAACGTCCACTATTAAAAGTGAAGTTAAAGGTGTCCTTAGAAAATTATGGAGAATAGAAACGCATCAGTGCTGAATGGTAAACTTATGCTACATAAAAATTACACCGATCTGATAGGCTACTAATAAACTTTAATCTGGTGATCTTGTGGGCTTCCTCCAATTTCCTCATACTGGCTGTTTTGCACCATGTAAATTCTCTTCATAATCGGATCTTCATACGTTCTATAATTGTTGGGTTATGCGCAGCTTAATTAAAGCCATCCATGATTTGACGGAAAATAAGAGGCTTAAAAATATCTATACACAAAGTGTAGATTAATTTGCGATTCGTTGCAATTATTATACACACATTTGTTCTATAATAATGATTGATTTTGCCAAATGCAAATAAAACAGAAAATAAAATGGAACGAATCGTTAAAGTCGAAACAAAATAAAATAGAAAAAAGATAGCCTACTTCGAAACCTCGTGTGTTCGCTACAGGCTCCTTCATACGAAACTCCCTCTCTCTAAACAGCATGCAATAATTGATTTTAGGCGGATGTGCACAATGTGTGTGTTTTGTGTGGTTCAAGTCTCTTGCAGAAGAGGTCGCACGTGCACCTCCGCCACAGAGAGAAACCCCTCCAGTCAGTCTCGCGTGTCTCACTTCTATGGAAATTAATTCCGTGTAGTCTGCCTCGCGCCACCGCCATTCGGAAATTGAATGGGATATAGATTGTGATCCCTGAGCAACCGCAACACCTGTCTTGTCTAATAATAGTCTTTCTCTCCTTTATTCTGTAATCCATTGTCTCCTTGCGCAGATCAAATTTCAACAGTAACCTTGTATTAAATTAACACCCTCTACTGTTAATCAGACCTGTCATGGCCTAGAAAGTTGTGACATTTCTCAACTCGGCAAAGGTTTGTGGTGACACTCGCAGGCTATCAATGCGTGGTTGAATTTGTAATTACAGAGTCTTTATATTTAATCATACACCTACAAACACGTTCCCCTTTGTTTACACTAAAACCACAATATTCATTGGAATCTGGGTTTTTAGGGTGGGATTAAATAGCCTATGTTGTTTGCTTATGTCAAGATATTGTTTTCCTGGGCAACTGGACTAGTCACATCCACGCCTGGTCAGTTCTGGATATCCATAAGGTTACAAAATACAAATTGGGCCATTTTTTTTTATTTATGCCTAAAACCAAGAGAAAGTTTCAAGCAGCTATGTCACCTGATTTGGATTGAAAGAACTTGGGGAGGAAAACTCTCTCTCCCCACCCCCACAGAGAGGAAGACCGCCCACACCACAGACAGTCGGCCCGAGACCCCTTATACACTTAAAAAGAGGTGGCACTCTGAGAGCAGCGTTCATTCAGCACTGCCTGAGTAAGAAGATTACTTTTACACTGCTCGTCTAGATACTCTTTCTCTCTTTAAACATGCAAAGGATGCTAAAGCGTCAGCCGTTCCACCCGGGAATGATTTTATTACTCTTATGGCTCTGTTATTTGATTGAAGATCAAAAAGTGCAAGGTGAGTGCACCTTTTTCTTTCTTTCTTTTTTTTTGCTGTATTTGTTTCTTCTAAATTATTATAATAATTATTATTATTATTATTTTGGCATGCTTTAGATATCAGTATGGGCTGCAATTAATTTAGAATTAAAGTATTCCTTTAGAATGAAGGGAACTGCTTAAATACAAGACAACTGTAAAGTTTTGTTCTTGGCTCGCGCCTGCATTGGTGTCCTCGAGACAGGTGCGTCCTTACATGCACCATTATTTAAAGGGGAAAAAACATCCAGAATTTACTATACTAAATTAAGTGATGAAAATTGCAGCAGAGCAGTTTACCGTTATCTAAAATAAATGCACAATATTGTCAAAATTAGAGGACACCGAGATGCATCTTGAAAATAATAATACAAAAATTAATAGCCTATTAATATGATAGTATTATTGTCTAGCAATAATGTGAAGAATTATTGTTTTGTATAAATGCATATTTAGCACATTCTCAAATCATCCTTTATGCATTAGACATTCGATTGTATTTTTCTCAGATAGTAGGTAGTGAAATTAAACACTGCCTACCTCGTCTGGTTTGCCAAAAATCAGTGGGCATAATGAAAAAAAAAATGTGTATCATTTTTATGCATTTAATTATTAGAATCGCTTTGCGCATCTGTCATCAAAACGGCACGATCATTTTGAGAACAAAGTTTGATGAAGCTCGCGTGACTGTATGATTTAATTGGATTGTCTGGCGCGTGGTATCCCCGGCGCGAATGCCTAATTTAATACATAAACACGACTAATTCCCCTCATGGTTGACCTGACAGTTCAAAAAATGTCTGATTCCTATTCTAAGCAGCGGATAAATGCGTTTGTGTTGGTAAAAGCAGCGTTTGGAATGCTCCTGTAAGTGTGCTGAAACGTGATGAGCGCAGACAGTTGGCACAGAGCGCTCGAGGAACTGGAGTCTAGACTGCCATGCACATTGTTTAAATAGGTACGAGGCTGTCAATCTGCCACTTACTTCAAGACAATAAATCTCTCCACGGTTTTAACATATTCGACGACAGGAAAAGCATATTCCCGAGCAGACCCGGAGCCCCTGAGTTGTCTGGCCGAAGGCAAGCAAGTGTAAAATAGTCGCATCACGTTGGGAAAAATCAGACAAAATACAGCGGGGGAGGGGGAGCAGGAGAGCTCCAGCTAATACAGGCTGCACGTGTTGTGTCTGGGTCATTGGGTTCAGACTTTAATACGACTGGCTCTTTTTTTTTTTTTTACAGCTGGTAACTGCTGGCTCCAGCAAGGCAAGAACGGGAGATGTCAGGTCCTCTACATGCCTGGGATGAGCCGAGAGGAATGCTGCCGGAGTGGGAGGCTCGGTACATCTTGGACTGAGGAAGATGTGCCAAACAGCACATTATTCAGGTGGATGATCTTCAATGGCGGGGCTCCAAACTGCATACCTTGTAAAGGTAGAATCCCATGTTCGTTTGTTCAGGTGGAAACCTCTATTAGCATATGTTGCTATTATACCTCATAAAAACATATTACATGCATATTTCAAAAGTATAAATAATAATAAAAGTTACTGTGCTTCAGTGGTCATGCCCCCCATCCTTACTTTAATATAAATAAAGTCACAAACATAGATTAGTAATATTAATGTAGAACAAAAATTCAGCGGCTTTACATATCATGTTCCTGTGTGGCTGAATTTTAGAGACATGTGATAATGTGGACTGTGGCCCTGGGAAGAAATGTAAAATGAACAGGAGGAGTAAGCCTCGCTGCGTCTGCGCCCCAGACTGCTCCAACATCACCTGGAAGGGGCCGGTGTGCGGCTCAGACGGGAAAACATACCGAGATGAATGTGCCCTTTTGAAATCCAAATGCAAAGGGCACCCAGATCTGGAGGTGCAGTATCAAGGCAAATGCAAAAGTAGGTAACACACTGCTTCCACACAAAGGTCTTACAATTGTGCAGGTCTGATTTTTAAAAAAATACTGTCTAACCTTGAGAGAGATTTTAGCAGGTGTATCCAGTCCTACAGTATTTTCAATAGGAGTTTATACCAAATAAACACTAAAGAATAAAGGAAGATTTGGGGAAATCAAAAAAAGATCATTGGTTGTGAAAATGAGAAAACCAGGTAAAACAGTATCATTCAGTCTTCCCTTCTCATCCTCACAGAGACGTGCCATGATGTCATGTGTCCGGGAAGTTCGACTTGCGTGGTGGACCAGACAAACAACGCATACTGTGTGACGTGCAACCGCATATGCCCAGAGGTCACGTCTCCGGATCAATACCTTTGTGGCAACGATGGGATTGTTTACTCCAGTGCGTGCCATTTAAGGAGAGCCACGTGCTTGCTTGGTAGATCCATTGGTGTGGCATATGAAGGGAAATGCATCAGTGAGTGTCAACATTTGCCTGTTTCATTTAAATGATAAAAGTTGAAAATGGTGGAATTTGTTTTCAGTTCAGAGTGCAACAATGGCGAAATCCCAAATTAATTCCGTTCCATTAGTCTTTCGTGACAATCCCAATTGTGATTATTACTTGCAAAGGAAAGTCATTTTTGTCTAATTGTTTATAGCAAATAATAAAATGACAAAATGAGCGTGACTTGCCCACAGCCTCTCCACAACAACAACATAAACGTTTATGAATTTCTATGTATGAAACACTAGTGTTATCAGTAGAAATTGACGTTTCTTGTCCCCTGTTGGTTTTTTAGAGGCCAAGTCATGCAATGATATCCAGTGCAGCGCGGGGAAGAAGTGTCTATGGGATTCCAAGATGGGTCGCGGGCGCTGTGCAGTTTGCGTGGAGTCGTGCCCAGAAAGTCGCTCGGAGGAGGCCGTGTGTGCCAGCGACAACACCACATATCCCAGCGAGTGCGCCATGAAGCAGGCCGCTTGCTCTTTGGGGGTTCTCCTGGAGGTTAAGCATTCAGGATCTTGCAACTGTAAGTAATAAATCTTAAAAGACAATCCAATGCTGCCCCCAGCAACCACCTCCCCAAAACCTCCCACCCCTCCAAATAACGCCTCTTCATTCCCTACCTGCTGCTAAGAGTTAAGCTACAGAAAGGACTTATGATTGGAAGTTCTTTGCATGTCCTCTTTGGCTGGCTTCATTAATTTAGCATTTTCTTCAGAAGAAAAAAAAAGAAAAGAAAAAAAAAATGTTTATTTAAAAAAGAACCCACAAAATCAATGGAAATCAATGGATACAATGTAAAAAGATATATATATATATATATATATAAATGTCTTTTGACATATTAATTTTCTTCATTTAACTAACAAGAAAACATGTGCGGACTAACTTTTGCAGTTAAAGACATTTGAATTCTAGTTCAGACTGACCTGTTATTGACCAGCAAATTGAGTAACTATTTTCCCTTTGTTATAGTGTAAATGTAGAGACTTATATAATCATATCAGCTTGTCAATTCCATATTCATGGTTATCATGTAAGTGTTTTATGAATTATGTTTTTTGTTTGATTTTGCCTTTGGCTGTAATCAGTTATTTCAAATGCACTATGACATAAATAGCTCTGAGGGTTTGAAAAGACTTGAATCCTTTTCCTTACGCTCACATAAGGTGATTGTAACATTGGTGCTGTTGTTTAAAAGTTACCTAGACTACCTATTTTGACCGATGGTTCACTAGCTTTGAGAATGGATTGATGAAGCTAGAGCTGCCATTAATGAGGGAATACTTACATTCCGGTTTGTGCTAGCGAACGAATCAAATGATCAATGTGAACGAATGGCTTACCTTAATGTTCTTGTGCCTTAAGGTATGTACGTCATTTCAAGGGACGAACTTTATGATCACCTCATGGTTTGAATGACTACAGCATTTTACAGTTTGCAGGACAAGAATATGTTATTAGTAGAGCAATGCTTTCTCAGTCTCTGCTGTTAGACATCTAACGTTAGGTGAATTTGTGTGTGCAGTTCTGCTGTGGTCGTGTTGTCCTATTTGTTTGTGAGGGACTGCATATTTGTTTCATTGCTTTGCCTGTGTCATTTTTTTCAATGTTATTTCCAGAAATATATATATATATATATATGATATACCTCAGAACCATATATACCATTGCTTGACCACGTAGCTACGGTCAGCCGGTGCACCACCTGTGCATCCAAAGTAATGGATTTAAGACACAAAACCAGAAAAAAGCAGCCATTCATGGAATGCAAGAGCACTTTTTTGGTCTTGATTCAGAAATCTGCCAAACAGACCTGAGCCATTAAAGCCTCTGATCAGCCCCGTCCCATCACACCGCTGACTTCCTTCATTATGTACGTCTTGTTGCATAATTTTGGGAGCCAGAGCACCTGGTCAAGCTGTCAAGTAACTAGATTGTCAGAGGCTTTGGGATAAAGACAAATACTCACATACATTCTGCGCTGTTGTGGTCTATATTCATGCAACAGCTACCATGTATTCTCCCATATAGCCATTACTGAAGACCAGGAGGATGATGACGATGAGGAAGACCAGGACTACATGGCTTATATCCAATTATCACCTGTACTGGATGGATAAAGCACCATCAACCAGTGGAACAGTCCTAGGGCAAGGAATCATGTCCACACTGTACATATGTGTATGCTAATTTATTTTTCAGAGAAAAAAGAAAGAAGTATACATGTAGTTCAGTCTGCTTGATGTTTATTTATAGTGTTCTGTTTTATAATTTATACATTTACAGTGTCTGGCATACTTGTCTATCATGTTATTTTGTTTTCACTTATGTTGTCTTTCCCTTTTCTTTTTTTTATTATGACCGAGAAATGTATTTGTCCAGAGAAGCAGTGTTATTTATTGTGAGGTAAAATGCTATCATGTAAAGTGTGAGTCTTCTGCAAGCTGTAAATTGCATTCCCTGAGCTGTATAAATGCTTATCAATGTCAATTCTATATCACAGATGTTTATTTCACACATACCTGCATGTTAAGCTTGTGAGTTTATTTATTGGAAAAAATGGAAACGCATAGGGGAAAAAAATGTCACTCTTTAATGTACATGTATATTTCTGGTTTTGTTTACAGTTCAGTGTAATTGACCAAAGGGATTTTCTTGAACGTTCTTCAATGTTTTTGTGATATGGTGCAGCAGGATAACACTGAAAAATGAGCCGTTTCTCAGATAGGAAACCCCTGACAATTCGCTTGTGCAAAATGCCGTCCATCCTCAACAGCAACAGTTTGACTTTTCGAGATAGGGCAGAAATTAGCAGTGGGTGATGCTTGTTTGAGAAAACTGTGCCATGCAACTTTTTTGTCTTTGTTTTTGCCAATATTCTGCTCTATATTGCTCTTGCAGAGCTAAAGAAAAGGTCATAAAGAGGACTCATTATCAAAACATTCACTTTTTCACTTTGTCGTCAAAATGCATTTTTATTTTCAGACATCTCAAGATAAAACAAAATTCAGTTATAAATATATAGTTTTGTATTTTTTATGTAAATGTCATATGTATATACAAAGTTTGATGTATTTGTACAGATATTAAGAGTGAAATCAATAATAAAAAAATACTTATCAATTGGTCACTGTGGTGTGGATTTGATTAAGAATTGAGTTCTGCCATTAGTTCATGCCATGTACTCATCCATTTATTAGAAAAGCAAAAGAATTGGATTCTAATTCTCATTTTGTATGTAGTTGAAGTGTCCTGGCTTCATTGCTTAAGCCTTAAGGCCATTATATAAAAAGTCATTCAACTCATTTTAACTGACATCATGAATCTACTGCTGGAAAACCCGCTTGAGCTTTTTTCCCCCCACAATTCAACTAGTGGGGCTATGAATTGAACTAAATTTCAACTAAATCAAGCCAAAATATTCACACAAGGACTTAACTTTCAGTTCAGTTCAGTTCAATCAGTTCAACTCCCTACAAAGTTTTTACAGACAAATGGTTCCTCTTATCTTCATCACTCAGTTTCTGGTGACGAAAACCAATCACATGCCTTTCTACTACCTACTGATAAAGCTGAAATTGCACTGCATTTTGGCTGAAAGGCTCTAGTCTGACCTCACATGATCACAAAATTCACATCATATCACTGAACCATCACTGACTCCAAACATTGTTCTTTCCTATTATGCAAAGCTCCTTCTAAAGTTGTCTGGTGCACCTTTGCTCTTTTTTCAGCTCTGTACCGCCTTCAAAATGATCATTTTCTAAGCAATGACGGTTTTTTTTTTTTTTTTACATATAGGCCATTTATAAGGTAACGGTGTCATGCCCAGATCAATTAGGTTGTCTTTGTCACATCAGTGATTCATTCTGACTTAAGACTTAAAACATGAACCACATTTTAACGATTCCAGGTAATGTAGATTTGTAATGTGATGTAAAATGAACATGGTAAGTGTAGTACCAGAGACTGTGCTAATGTGCTAGCAGAGATGACAGAGTAAAACGGTCACTGCTTTTTCCAATTGAACGTCATTTGAAGCAGGCACGTGTTTTACTCATCTGGGCCCATCCCTGGAGGAGCATGAGAGTAAACATTTCTAGCCGCGTTCAGTCATTGAAGCTTGACATTTACCTCATCCTCCCGTCTCAGAAACATTAACACTAAACTGTCTTCAAGGGGGTTTGAAGGGTTGGAAAAACGAACCACCTGACAAGAATAATTATTTTCTGAGGAAACAGAGAGATGGCATTTCAAAGCACACGGCAAGCACAAACAGCAGCAGTTACTTCAGTAATAATAAGTGCTAAATACTCACACTACTACAGATATTGTGTCATTCCAATGATTTAACGTCCAGATTCGGTTAAAGGAAGCACAGTAAAACTCAGGCGTTGTAAAGATATAGTTTATTAGATACAGAGTATATTATTTTTACAGGTCTGTTAAAGATAACACAGACAGGCAGAAACGGGATGTCTACTTGGCCGACCTTCTAGTCCTTTTGTCCCAGGAAAAGTTTGCTCCATATGACTTCACTCTCGGTTTTGGGACCCTCTTTTCTGTTATATCATAACTCCAACCTGTAAAAATAAACAAGCGTAGAGCACAGTCAGCCAAGTATATCTTACAGGCTGGATTTGGGAGATGTCCACTATTGCTGATGTGCAGTGTAAACACCAGGCCGGATAAGACAGGGTGAGGATAAACGTTAATCTTTATGCCACAAACACAAACACAACTCCTTTTCAAAGCGGAGCGTCATCTCCCTCAAGAGACATTTTTGGATGCGATTCTGATTGGATGATTGTACTGTTTAAAAACTTTGGTCACGATAGTGGAAAAATGTTTAAATGGATTACCGTTCTTCTCGGCGAAAGCGATGGCGTCTTCCTTGGTGCTGAATGTCAGCACCATGTTGGACAGGGGGTCTGCCCTGGATTGGGAACAAAAATCACTTCAGACACTGGATTTTATTTGCCAATTCAAAAAGCATGATTTGATTATCATGATGTCCACTCACGTGGAGGCCCAGCCCATCAGTGGGTTTTCCCAGCGCTCCCTGGTATCAAAATCCATCTTCCACTTTTGGGTATTTTTGACACCGGACTGCATGGCATTGCGGGCAGACACAAAGATACGGACCTTGCGGGTCTTAATATGCTCCTCGGGTACGCCAGTCAAAGTTGTGATGTCCTGGCAAAATGAGGGAGACAAAAGAAGAACTGGTAAACTTTGAGTACATAAGGCAAATCTTTTCATCAAAACCTAAGCATTAATGTGTGGTTTGCCAAAAACAAGATTCTCATTTGTGCTCTCATAAAAGAAGCTTTGCTGTTCTCACATATTTGCTGCACTATTCCCCAAAGGGCATACAGGCCCAAATACTTCCTTTTTTGAATGCAGACGCGCACCTGTCTAGACAAGCTAATTTCTCACACTCTCAAAATGCATCGAGACAGTCTATTGTGATCCTCACTGCAGGTCAGAAACCTGGGCTTTCAGGTGTGAAGGTGAAAAGAACTCTGCAAACTTGAAGTGAATAGTACATTAAACTTAAAGTGTTCGCTCTGAGCAGGTGAATCATTCAGGGCATCAGTCTGTCTTCATTGTTGGACTGATGATAAGACATTTGAGAGATTGGTGTTGGCTTATATATTCTTTTTTTTTGTGGTTTATATTTATGCATGTGTATTTTATTCACATCTCATTTTTATTATCTGTGTGTTGTTGTTGTCTCCGTGTACTGGAAGCTTGTGACACTATAACAAATTCCTTGTATGTGCAAACATACTTGGCAATAAAGCTCTTTCTGATTCTGATTCTGATATGATTCCAGAGTTGTACTCAAAAAAATAAATTTTCCAAACTGAGAAAAAAAAAATATATATATAATTTTTTACAGAAAAACACTATAAAAATACTAAATACCCTTTAATTGGTAAATTAATTAACCATATACGGTAAACAAAAAATTGTAAATGGTTTAACGCATTAAATGTAATTATATTGCATTGTATATAATTTTACTGTAAAATAGAGTGAAATCTGTGTTTTTGCAATGTGACATCACATTTAATTAAATTTGATCTAAACAGATTAATTTCTTCTTAATTTAGTCATTATTAATGTACACTAGGATGTTTTGTTTTACAGATTTAGTTTAGTTTAGTTGTTTATTGCATTATTGTAGTGTCACATGTGTTACCCTGATGGTGTGTATGACCCTGTGCACCATCTACATAAAAGTACTGGCCATGTTTTATGTGGCTATTTATTGCACTACCTGAATTATTATCGTGGTTATCAGTACATTTGAAGTTAAAAAATAGATTTTAATAGTTCCAGTAAATTGGTATATTAATATCACATAATTTAGTGAAATATACGGTTATAAGGTGTAAAATATGGCATTTCATAATAACTGAAACATTGTCACCATATTTTTTGACCGCAAAGTCCTGGCAAACAAAGCTGTCTTTTTTTTTTTTTTACCTAAATGTTTTCCCAAGATCGATCTTCTCTCAGTCTATTTTTTTCCGGATGCCGTGAAAATGTATTTATACCGTGCTTTCGTCCTGTAGATGGCGACGAACTGAAATCACTCAACTGCACACATTCAAAAGAAATATTTTTCTTTATGTATCAAGTTAGTTCCATGTGTCAGTGTTTCTAAACTGTGGTTCAATGAATCTGCACTGATGGGAAGTCAGCAACAACACACAGCCAAACCTCCCAGTAAGCAGCCACCCAAGGTTGTGAATCCTACAAGCAGTTCCCCTTTCAATGCAGGATCTTCACACATTTCAATGGCCATTACAACTTCAAAGAATCAAATTTTCATCATTGTCTGTCATCTGCCACTTGATTCATAAAAAAGAGGTTCTTTAGCATGAACTGTGCACAAAAGGCTGCCAAACACCCAGTCTTCACGTGACAATCGAGCAGGCCGGGAAGAACATACAGTACCATACGCTCTATTTTAAGGGGACAACTTTAGTGAAGGGGGAAAAAAACTTCAGAACTGTCCATGATGTGTATCTAACCATAGTATCACATTCAGCTGGCTTGAACATTTAAATGGCAAATATCACAACATGAAAATTAATCTTTTTGTTGAAAATGTTCAGTGCAATTGACAGCAGTGTCTTTGAGCGAGACACCTTTCTCTCTGAGCAGAATGACAATTAGTCTAAGCAGACATGCGAGACATAAATTCAATGTGTGAGATTAACAAACCACAATATACATTTCTGGTTGAGAACTGATGAAGAAAAATATTATAATTATTATA